AGTTCTCTGCTCGCATGAGGTGAGCTGTTGTACAGAGTTATGGCCTTCGGTAAGAAATATTTCTTGTATCTGTCCTTGTGACAGCGGAGTTGTATCAGTCTGTTGGAGAAGCTGCTCTGCTGTTTGTCCAGTAGGGTGTGCAGAGGTTAACCATGCTGCTGTTATTCAATAATCTGACTATTCATATTGACTGAGGTTTGCATGGGGTGTGCGTTTGACTACATTTGTCGTGATCACCACCTTGGTCTCCTTAGCAACCGTGGCTGTGCCCCCAGTCATCTGCCCTCTCGTCAAGACAGATGATTCCTCTGTTGTTTTGTCTGCTGCTGCTGCAGAGCCATGTGTTTCCTATTCATACCGGTATTACTGACTTGGTTTAGTGGTGCATCAACACTGGGACAGCTTGTGTTTACAGATTGGCAATATTGACAGAATGATATGCAGCAGTATTTCTGACCCTGATTATATAATGGTGTTTTTTTTTTTTTGCATAATTTGTTCGCTCATGCAATATTTACGGAGGCTGAGCGACATAAGCAGTCAAAATGAGTAACATGAACATAATGGTGAAGAATGTTTAATTAAACTGGGGCAGGTAAGTTAATTAAAACAGGGAAAACAGGAAACATCGATGATAAAGTGAAATCTATGGTGACTCACAGATCATAATATTGTTGTAACATGTACTGATTCCTATTTCTTTCTTGAAATGCCCTAGTTGACACCGAATCACAAGTTGATCATTTCATTTGATTACTGATAGAATGTCAGTTTGAAACTGCTTTAAAAAGTCGCATTTTTTTCATGTTTAGAGGTCATTTAAGGTACTGGGAAATTGTGACCGAAATAGTTTTTTCTTCTGAAGTATTGGGCGGACAATGACAAGTCTAGATAGTATGATTAACTGATGATTGCTCCTGCTTTTTTATGTCTCAGGCAAACTGCTAGAAGATCCCATTTCTCCAACACATCCAGAGTGTCAGCATTGTGTCTGCTCAGCCTGTAAAGGCCAGAAGATGCGGATCAGGCTGTCATGCAACCGGTGTAAAGACTATTCCTGCTTCCAGGAGAACAAACAGCTTTCTTTGCTGGTGCAGTGCTACAGGAAGCTCTGTCTCTATGTGACTCATTCACCGTTGCTGCAGTTGATCAGCAGCCATGAAGGAGGCTCCATTGAGATTATGGCCTTGCTAGAGGAGGTGCTAATGTCACATAAAGAGACGGAAGACCTTTGCTTAGCTCAGGAAGATGTGAATCCTTCTGCCCCTGACTCCCTAACCCCCACAGAGGCACCACCTGCTCCTACAGAGCTTTCAGCTGTACCACAGAGTTCCTCATCTGACCTCCTTTTTCCAATGGACCACAAGGCTGCAATGGAGAGGTTCTTGAGGACCTGGATCCCTCATCTCCCGAGCTGGAAGTCTGCGAGCTGGTAGAGGAGCAGCCTCCGGCAGGCCTGTCTGTGTCCGACACTGGCTGTGGTGGTCTGGAATTGAGTCTGACTACAGGACCATTAGTCCAAACTCCAGGCACTGTGTGCTCACTCAGGGATGGGGAATCAAGCAGTAGGGAGCTGGAGGAGGGGGAGGTGTTGCTGCTCAGTGTGGAGGAGGTGTTACAGACATTGGATCCCCTTCAGCCCAGTCAAGATTCCCCTCATGCACACCAAGAAAGAACACACACTCACACACACATCACCACAGACAGAGCACATGCTCAAATGTACATACACCTAGACGCAGCTCACAACTACACACAGATCCGAACAGAAAGGACAAACACAGGGTCAAGCCACGGTGCTCACATACTCACATCCTCTTTCGATCCTCCTCCCTCTTCCAAGCCCCCACCAGTCCGCCTTAAACGAAAACGATCACGTTCAGAAAGTGACAGGGAGAAAGTTAAACCCCTCCCTATTGCCTCCATCCTGCAGGGCCCCTCCTCAAACGTACACACTCCAAACCCCCCTCTGACGCTAAACACACAACCACCCACACTCTCGGTGACTGTACCAGCACACACATACTCATCCCTTTCTAATGGAGCCCCTCCAAAGCCCAGTCGCCCTGCGCCAAACCACAATAAAGGTGCCAGGAAGCATGTTGATCCGGGTCCTAAGAAGCCCCACGTGAAGGCCCGCAGCGGTGGGGGCTCCAAGACCAAGGATGGAAGCAAAGACCAGCGGTTGATGTCTGGCTGCCTCGTGCCTCCAGCCCCCGTCAGGCCTCCATATAAGAAGCCTGTGGAGAAGAAAGGCTGCAAGTGTGGCAGGGCAACCCAGAATCCGTCTGTGCTGACCTGCAGGGGGCAACGCTGTCCCTGCTACTCCAACCGCAAGGTGAGACTATTATGAATACATGCATGAAACTATTGTGGGTCCTTCTCACCAAGAGCAACAGTTTTTTTTAATTTTATAGAGACTTCAGACAAGTAATGTTAAGTGTTTTAAGTATTTCTGTTCACAAAAACTGTTTTTTAGTTTTTATTGTTGTGGCATGTCGGTAAATGTTTGAAATGTAATGGGCACCTGAAAAGTTGTGACTAATATTAAATGTGTACATTTTTATCATCCATCTCAGGCATGCTTAGATTGTATCTGTCGAGGTTGCCAGAACTCCTACATGGCCAACGGAGAGAAAAAGCTAGAGGCCTTCGCCGTGCCAGAGAAAGCCTTGGAGCAGACGCGGCTCACCCTTGGCATCAACCTCACCAGCATCACCGCAGCCGCGGCACTCCGCAACCCGGCAACCACCAGCATCCGAGCTAACACCCTACTAAATGTCGCCACAGCAACAGGGACCCCTGTTACCACAGCCTTCTTGTCCCCCAGCCCCCCACAAGATCCCAACTATGAAGACAGTCTGGAGCTGCTGATTGGATGAGAGGCTGGGACTCCATACACAGACAGCTCTGTGCTGATTGAATGTGACGGCTGATCAGTGTGTCTGTCAGACAACCTGTATCCCCCCCCTCCCCAAAATCTAAGGCAGCTATGGGTCTGTCCTGTCCTGTAACCTGCTCTTCTTATATTGTGTTGGAAAATGCTGAGTAGTAAGACTAGCATGGGTGTGCCAAAGCCTCCTGTATTGTGCCTGTGTGCCGGTGTGTATTGTTGCCTGCCTGTAGTGAAACACATATATACTCGGTTCTGTTCTTCAGAGGTGCTTTTTGTTCATTAGACCACAGACACACTCTAAGAGGCAATAGGAACCCATACTATTTTTTTGTCTTTGTTTGTTTCTGCACACAAATATAGATTTGCTAGTGTGCGATTTTTTTTTTTGGTGCATAGTGGTAACAAAAACATCTCCATATCTGAGTCAACTGTCACGGCATTTCCCACGTTTGAGTGTTCCTCTGTGTTTGATAAATGCATAATCCGTATTAGGACAGCCCTCACAAACACTTGACCTTGTATGTGTTCTCATCTTAACGGTGAATGAATCTTGTGACTAATCGATAGAGAACTTCTGTTTCACACGCGACTGTTTGCCTTTTCTATCTCGTGAACTCACTCAATCCAAGTACTGTCAGAATAAAAATGACTTTGTCTTAATGAACGTGGCTGATGCAGGCATTGTACAGGCAGCAAGATAATGTCAAAGCACTTGGCTGGCTCCATGGTTTTTGTATGAGTGTGTGTGTGTGAGTGAGAGTGAGTGAGTGTGTGTGCATGCGCCTGCTGAGATTTACTGTAATGTCAGTGAGGAGGTGTGTGAAGGATTGTAAGCACTTAGCCTGATTGATTGGCCAATTTACGACGAAAAATCCAGTCTCTGTTACCATAGCAATAGGAACACCAACATGGTCCCAGCTCTCGTGCACACACCGTTGTTTACAGCATCGCCATTTATATAACCTAATCTGACTGTCTTCTAAAATATTACACTGTTACTGTCTTGATTATGAGATTGTACATGACTGTGTTTAGATAAACTGAAGCCATAGGTCGTCATTAACAAGACAAAATATCCTCTGAGTGTGTGTTTCTTCCCCTTCATGTAGTGTCCTGACTGATTAGAGACAAACTCAGAGACTATTTTTGATACCGACTGTGTGGAACCACTGTCTTTTCTGTGTTTTGGTTAAAGCACCTTGAAGCCCTTCTATATCCCAAGAGGCTTTGTGTTGTCCGTGTTTGTGTTATCTGTCTCAGCTGTATCTACAACATGTTTGTCAGTCCACTCATGGTGACCAAAAAAAAAAAAAAAAAAACCGACTGAAGGAGAGAGGACTCAGGCAGACCAAAACAAACACCTTGGTTCTCCACTCATTGACCAGAAGAAGCAGGTTGATTTACAGTAAGATCAGCAAATATGATCTATCTTCCTGCTTTTGTGTGTATGTTTCAAATGTATTTCTTTTGGGCATTACTTGAACCCTGATTAGTTTTTGGTATTTTTTTTTTTTTATGTAAAAACTCTTGTTTGAGGAGTGACTCTTATTGCGGAAACATTCACTGCCATAATATGGAAACATGTAATATGACATGTATTAAATGATAGTTTTTTACTTTTTCAGTTCTGTGTCTTTCTGTGTAGATTGGATATGTGACTTGACTTCACTTTAAAGCTTTGTCACAGATGTTTGCAAACACAAGATGAACACTTAATTATCCAAAACTGAACCTAGCAGTCCATGCAGATTTGTGTTCCAGGCTAATATGCCCCACCCCCAGCCCTTTCTCTCACACAGTAATTCCTCATGCAACATTTATGTCAGTACTTCACTTCAATTACCAAAAAAATGTCCCAAAGATCAAATTCAAATCTTGTAAAGAACTGTAAAAATTATAGAAAATTAAAATGCATGCAAGCTAGCAGCTGTGTAATGTTGTACCATGACTGTATTGACATGACTGGTGCTTAATGCTATAAGCTATCAACAACATGCCCATAATGGTGATGGTCATGTGTAGCGATTTATTACATCTGTGGATTAGCAGGTGATGGGAATGAAATATAGTTCTCTGGGTGCTGAGTAAAAAAAAAAACAAAGCATTTTACAAATTCAACATTTATGTTTAGGTTCATTATTTTGCACTCATTTTCTGTAGCTCGTATTGCTAAAGAAGTGGTGGAACAAAATGAAAAGTTCAGCATGACCTCGCAAACGTGAGGAATTCCACATTTGATCTGATAGCAACTCATTTTTTATAAAATCTTTCCAGCACTTTACAGTAAAGATTGATATCCATTGGATAAATAAACACAGATGGTCTGAACACACTTTTAAATACTCGCTCCATTCATACTACATCAGTGCTTTTTCTTTGAAGGCCTCGGGACATTTGTCAGCCCACATGTTCATTCACATATTACATAAAAAGGGAAATTCAGCCATAAGAAGTCGACTTAAAAAATAAGCTTCATTCATAGTATTGAATATCTACAATCTTATCTTGAGGCGTTCTTTATATTTATCACATCTGTTGTGTATCGCCGTTTCCTTGGGATGAACTGTCCACTTTCTAACCTGCGGGAAAAGGCAGGTCCCTTTGGTCACGCACACATCAGAGTACTTCAGTATCCTTTGTCCTGCTTACACTGAATGCACCACACAATCCTTGTTAGCTCTGTTATACAGTCCACTTTGTTTACCCGCCTTAAGAGCAAATAATAACCTGTGGGAGGTCTGATCACAACCTCTCCAGCCCGTCTCCCTTGCCATTCTGAACCAGTCAGACTCATTTGCACTCCTCATGGTCCATTCTTCTGCACCAATCTTGCACCCTCAGTCGGCTGCTCGTATTATCGAGCAAACCCCCTGACATTTTTGGTTAGCACCTGATGATGTCTATTATCAAATCTTCCCCGGCAAAGACGCTTCCCTCCGAGGTCGCCTTCTTTTTAGCCGACAAGAAAAGCCCCGAAGTAGCTTGCCCTCCCGTCCATCTCCATGGCGCTGGCATTGCTAACGCTGATGAAGAGGCGGTCTGCAGGCTGTAGAAAGGCAGTACCGGCCTGATGCAGGGAGAAAAGACCGGGCTCGGGACCTCGAGGCCAGCAGGCACTCCGTGAAGACTTCATCAGCAGGATGGGCACCGTGTAGGAACTCATCTGTGGTCCAAACAAAAAAAGAAAACCGTTTTATGTACAAAGCATTAAACAATTCATCATGCTCAAATATCTGTGATAACATACCAAATAAATATCTAAATGTGTTGACATTTGAGGTTTTAGCTTTTCATCTTGGGAAACAAGCCACCAGATAGGTGCCATGACTCAGCTTAATTTGTAGTTTATCTTGATCTTTAGTTGTTGTGATGTAACCTCTAGTAGCAGGAGGTTTTTGGGTCAATGTCTCAAAGTTTTGGGTCGAACTTGCCGCGTCTTTGTTCCTCTTGCGTTGTATAATTATAACCCTCTGTTTAACAAGTGGAGCGTTTTCGAGATATGATCTTATTAACACAAATAAACAACCTTCTTACACAACTACATACGCTACCTGGAATTGAGCATGCTGCCTTTTCCCCCCAGGAGCGCCTCGGGGAACTCTAACAGAAAAAAAAACCTGCTGCTCTAAACAGACCTTCTGTGTGGCCCATCATTATAAAGATTGTTGTGAATTTAGAGAGATGCTTGTCAAACTGTTGTGCACAACGCCTCTAACTGCACACAAGGTCAGCTAAATGTTTCTTTTGATTTTATTCTAGAGGCATTTTGTGCCGCGCCTGTTTATAACCCTCAAAAAATGAACAGAGAGGTACCGGACTAGTTCACTTTGTAACGATGTACAGCTTAAAGCTGAACAGTCCTTTAACAATGCAAAGGTTTAAAACAGTCTTGATTCACTGTCATAATCTATCTGAAGCATGCTCCTGTTTCAGGTATTATCTTTCCACAGCCTAACCTTCTTGTAGATATACTGCACAAGCTGTGCTCCTTCCTCCTCCCCTGTCTCCCCCTTGGCCTCCCCGTCGGTTCCCCCTGTGGAGAGCAGTCTAAAGTACGTCTGGGCATAGATGTAGTAGAGTCCTGCTCGCGCCACCAGCAGCTCTCCCTCCCTCAGCTCCATGTTCTGCAGGAAGGACAGACCTCTCTGGCCCTCCCACGCTCTGATCCGCTCCCCCATGTACCCCCTGCTGCTCCTCGAACCTGCAACAGAGCATCAACACAAATAAACAAGCAGCAGAAGAAAACAAACACATGAAAATTACAGCCGATCACCATGATGCAAGAGCCTTTGAGATTATAGGGTGGTGTATTGAGTTTAAACAGACACATTTTTTTTTAAAATAAGAAACAAATGTTTAAATAAAACAACAGCTCTCAATCAGTAAGGCATGCAGACTCCTCCAGAAAGAATCTTCAGGGCCAAGAAACACAGTATTTTTTATACCCGATGTCTTATTATGGCTTCATTAACAATGACCAGCTGTCAAACAAAGCACCAAAAGTAACAGAGGGGATCCAAATATCCCGACAGATGTTGATGAAAAAAAGTTTTATGAGACTTATGAATACTGTCCTTATGGACAAATAAATCATCCAAGCATACGGCTAGCTTCATTTCTGATTTTCATTTCCAACTATTGTATGAACTACCGAACTTTACTCCTCTATTCTGTCTGTGGCTCTCAGTCATGGGCAAATCTGTTCCCATTACAACCTTAAATGTTTGAAAATACGTTGTTAATATATACACATATATTTTAAATTTATATATATATATATATATATATATATATATATATATAAAAACCTGCTGTGCACTGGCGTTTTAATTAGACTCAACAGGAATAAACGTATCTGTTGGGGACTATTTGTTGTGGTGGATTAATATGCATTTAGTTCTTTAATGAGTATACAGAGGGGGAAACTGGCTCAAATAAATGTGATCAAAGTACTCAGCTGATTTTATTGTTGTGGTAAAAACCACTGAGTACTTTCATTCAAAAACAACTTTAAATATTTCAGAGAGTGACTTGATGGAGAGTGTTTTTCCCCCTCTCTTTAACCCTAACCCTAAGAGAGATTAATAATTCCAATAATTTAGTGATGAAATACACATCTTCAATGTCAAAAGATGACACTAGGAGGTCTCTTATAGCAGAGTGCTCTATTACAGATGTCATGTTTGATTGCAGACAGGAAGCTCAAAATTAATATGTTTTTAAGGTTACTACTTTTTTTATGTTGAAGCTTTTATTTGCAAAAGACACAGTTTTCAAGTTTGTTTAATGTTTTGAAAAAGAGTAAGTTTACACTTCTAGTTGAAAGGACAACTCCAGGACACTGATAACGCAGCTGCACATGAGCAGGTCCTGACAAATATCTCGGTATGAAGATGTCACTCAAAGCAGCCTGGGAAGCCTTGAAGCACATTCCTCCCCTTTGACCCTGGAAAACTCAAGACTGAAGCTAGATCGTACTCGCAGGTGTTGGGGCATTGTGAATAAATGTTGTGGTGAAGATGTTCATCAGGCTTTCCAGGGATCTACTCAGAAAGTAAACGACTCTAATGATTCCTAAGTAATACAGGAATATTACTTCATTATTGGATTACAGGATCCTCACCATCTGCTGTTTGGGGTCCTGTGGGTGAGATAACACCGGTCACATGGGCAGCGACTTTAGGAAGAGGGACCCCTCGGATTCCAGGGTTCAGGACAGGCATCACTCCTGTCAGCTTATCTGTGAAAACACAAGACAAAGAAACCAACACAGGACATTGTTAATAGAAGAAGATGCACTCACTCACTTTACATAATGGTAGGCTGGTGTCTGAATGTTTGTCTACCTCTCATTGTAGAGGATATCTCCTTCTGAAAACGGTCGGCCATGGTCTGGAAGAAAAACATCCCCAGTGAAACAAAGAAAAACAGAGACGGAAAATGGTGATAAAATGTGTCCTCCTTATGTGTCCTTAGATCTACATTATCAACATTCAATAATTAACAAAGCCCCCCCCCTCCTGAATCATTCAGTCCTCCCCTGTGGGCAAACAAATATGTCATCTATTGACCTGGTACAGTATTCCCCCTCGGCTGAGTCCAATTTGGAGCTGGATTCACTGCTGTTTTTTTGGGGAAGTTTGAAACCATCTGGACAGAAGGGCATCTTACATCGTGTGTTAATGTTGACTGCTAAAAAATGTCATGCAAATATATGGGTTCTGTTGGAACTAGCTCACTAGCCACAAACTAGCTAGTTAGCTAGGAGTAGGAGCACTGGAAGAATGTCATTAATACTATTTAGGGATATAGAAAATAAGGTTAGAAAATCATTTAAAAACCTTCTCTATGTGGTTGTGGAGCTGTTGCGTGACTTGCCAGCAGGGGTCGCTCCTCTTGTCCTCTTCTGACTTGGGGTGTAGCTCTGCGTCAATCAGACAGGACACACTGCTTCTGGAGAAACTCTCCTGCATCTGTCAACGAAACACAGGAATGAACGAGTTCTGCACAAAATGTTTTTATTTACATACTTATCGTCTCATTATTTTCTTAAGCGATTGATTTCTGTGTCAGGATGTCAGAGAGAAAAAAAAAAGTTATTTATATCTGTGTTAATGTCCAACTAAGTGTCTGAGAGAAATCAGTTAATTTATGTAATATTTTGATAAATGAAGGCAGCAAATCCAGGAAAAAACAGTGAAAAACTTGGCTGTTTCAATCAACTGATCGTCATGGAGTACAGGTTACACACAATCACAAAAGACGAAGCAGAACCACATGTGCTCAGCTGTGCTGTGCATATAAATATGATTTATTTTCAGCTGTGAGGGAAAGTGTGAAACCTTTCGACTTAATATGAAAACACTACAAAGAATACGTTTATGTGACTTTGGTTCTTATAATTATTACAGTGGCCAGGAAAAAAAAAAGTCCTTTCCTTTTCCATTCCCTCTGTGACAACCACCCTGAACAAAACATGTTTATATCAGTCGCTGTTTACGTGTTTTAAACTTTGTGCATTGTTTGAGCCTTGTCAAAAGGAGAATTCATGACACTGTTGGGACATACAATAAAGTTATTTATAAAATCTATACACAATCACACGTGAACATTTTTAAAGCTACATTTAATGAAAAAGGACACGATCTTGACATCTTATCAGTTAAATGCATTGGCATAGTTTACTCTTTTTTTTTGAAAGTCTCTTTCTTATCAGTCTAAAAGGATCATTTATGGATATAGAGACACAAGTTATCTTAGGGAGGGCAAGGTTTGAAATTATATATTGTTATTCTACGCTATATAATTGACCCAATTTGTCTCTAACAGAGTTGACCGACTTTACTGTTAGTATGTTGTTTTTGAGAATAAATATTTCAAAATCATACAAGTTTGAGGTCAGGAGACAATAAATATACAACATTAAGATTGTTTTCTATCAGAATAAAAAGTTGAATTTAGTTTCCCGTATTTTTCAATACCTGAAATGTACCCGCAATTCTGGAGTGGCACATGTATTTGTCAGAGTATAGTCTCTAAGTTAGAAGACAAAATAGTTGAGGCTGATTAAAGAACTAATTAAATCACAAGTGGTCACAGGTGTGCGAGGAGAAGGGGGCGTTTTTTTTTTTTCAAATGTTTAAGCCAATCAGAGCAAAGCACTCAATCAATCAGCTTGTTTAAAAATAAAACTAAAAGCCTTCTTTCTGTTTGTCATACCTTACTAAAGAAGTATGTTGATTTAGGGTGTCACTACCACTGGGTCTTTAACTAAACTCATTTCCTGTCATTGTTTGGTGTTATCTACTCTGCCAACTTTCTCCTCTCTCATTGTTCAGAGTTAGAATGGCAGATATTTGTGCATAAGTGGAACTTTTACCTCATGTGACTTACTTATTTAATATTCTGATACTTTCACCAGATAAAGTTAGCCTGGTGTAGTAGGTATGACCGTGTTGGAAGAATACCAGCCAATTACTTTTGACACCTTCAAAGGTTTTCTGGTGGAAAGTTGTGTCACCGGTGTGGACTCACTGTTAAACTACCAGCAGATACCGTAAGTAGTTCGTTTGTCATCGTTAAAAATACCGTGTCAAACCTCCCTTTCATGTTGTTGGTGTGTTAGATTAAGACACATCCATATCTTACCGTGTTCAGGACTTGGTTGAAGTACATGAAACTGACGGACACCGCGATGGTCTGCAGGAGGACGGCAGCAAGTATGATGAGCCCCAAACACTGCAGAGAAACAGATACGGCCATATCCCAGTGTGGGTAAGTCGGCTACAGAAACCCAAAGAAGTCCCGGGGAGCAGCAAAAACCCTTCCAGCATGGAGGGGAGGACAAGTCAGATCAAGCTCGGCTGCATTTCTGCCCTGGGAGAGGGAGGGAGAGAGAGAGAGAGGAGAGAGAGAGAGAGAGAGACAAAGCAGTAGGCTACGTAGGTGGAGCAGAGAGAAAGAGAGAGGGTGAAAGACTGGAGTTTTACAACATAATCAAGATGTCATTTATTAGATAGAAAGGCGCTTAGACTTTAAAGCTGCGCATCTAACTTCATGGTGCCTTCGCGTGCTGTCGGAAATGTTGAAACTGAAATCTAAAGCACATGTCTAACCAGGCGTGTAAACACTGTTTATATGTGAAAGTAGCCTCTGAATTGCTTAAGTGGAGCCAGTGATGAATATTCACTTGGGTCCAAAGCTTAGGCTGGGTAGCTGACATGCTGTCACAATGCAATGCTTAACTGTTTCAGGATGTTTTAGTCTAAAAAAAAAAAATGTGGGCAGAAATGGGAAGAGTCTCTTAATTTCACTGTGCTGTAAAACTCCTGACTGAAATTCGGCCATACATCAGTTTAAAACAACTTCTTTAATGACTCAGCCAGTCTGACAACAGCAAATTGTAAGCTACTTTAATTTAATTTCACTCAGGTGCTACACTATACAAAAAGAAAGTCCTAAGTGTGAGCTAATGTAATGTAAGCAGAAATGTGGTTGAATCACTGTATTTGTCTGTTGGTTGAATGATAAAAGGCTCCTGGTTGCGGCCTGAAGTGTGAGGTTCTGTTGCTTTACCTAAGCGTCAAAATATAGTGAAGCGTCAAACTGAATTAATTCCAAACTGAAATTGCAACTTGGGACACACAGGAGTGTAATAATGCAAAAGCCTTTTCGAGCTTCCCAACCTTTGTGTAGGAATATTAACTGCTCTGTGAAAGTAGAGGCCTCAAACCTGCATTATCTTAATGTCCAGCAGGGGGCGACTGAGCTGGTTGGGAAAAAAAATTCCACCAAAGTACGGAAGAGGATTAGGGCCACTGAAAAAAAAAAAAAAATGTTCTGACTTTTTTTTTTAAATTCTGACTTTAATCTCCTAATTCTGAGAAAACTGTCAGAATTCTGATTTTCTTCTCAGAATTCTGAGGCAAAAGCCTAAATATGCTCTAAAATGATTGTCAACTTGCAACACAGTAGAAAAAAAAAACTATAAATGATGGAAAACAAATAGATTTTTTGAAAAAAGCTCTATGTGTTTTGGATGTACCATATTTGCTAGAGTTTTGTGAAGTCAGTGGGGTCCCAAGCAAAAAAAGATTGGGAACCAGTGGTCTAGTATAAGTTTTCTCCTCATTGGAGTTTTTTGTTCAACCCAAACAACAAACAGAACGTAGTAGATGCTGGGGGAAAAGCTCAGCAGTCTGTCAGTATTTCACATTGATGAATCATTCCCACGTTCAAAGCAGCTTTGTTCCTCTTAAATCCAGATACCCTCAAACAGCCACTAATTACAACTGGGTTCATTCAGTTTTTTACTTTCTGCTACAAGCACTTAAAGTCACAAATCCCTTTTTTTTTTTTTAACGAAGTAAGCTAAGTTTCCAAATGTTGAGCTGCTCAGGGCAGATATGTGGTGGCATTTTGAAAGAACAAAAAGAAAAACCTGGAAACAATTTTTTTTGTTTTTCAAGTTGTGTGGTTCAAAAAGTTGTTTGGCATTTTCATTATAATTTTCCCAATTATCACTTCATTTTTGATGAAGAGCTCGTGTTTATGTTAAACAGCTGCTGATTAAGTTCATCAATAAACAAAAAAAAAAGTTTCGCTGTAACCGAAGCTTCATTGTTCCGCCTGTTGTCTGTGTTCTCTGCTTGATTGTTGCTTTGCACGTTTAAATACCTCTGAATTAGTTTGATTGAAAAGTGTGACACAAGGTTGTAATGTCATGTTGTCATACGGCCTGAAGCATGATGCGTGATGAGCTGCATGCATGACAGCCACATTCAGAAGATGAAGTTTGAGTGGAGCACATGAAGGCAGCATCACTGCAGACCTGATAACCTGCCGTGTTGGAGTAAGACAAAAAAAAAGGCCTTTTTAACTTCTCTTTCCTGCTATTGTGAAATGATCTGAGGGAATGTAAGTCGATTAGTGCCAAATGACCCACTATTGTTCCAGCTTCACTGTAGTCTGTGTGGAATCAGTCGCAGGGGAGTCATTCAATCTACAGAACTTAACCTTGAGTGAGTCCTTCACTTTCATTCCTCCACCTCTAACCCCTGCCCCATTGTCAGCGTGAGGAAGTGAGATCAGAGCCTGAATGTGCACGACCCGCCCGACAATCAGGACCTGTGTAAAAGCATGTGTAACACATTCACACGGGCGCACATGAAGCTGTGATGTTCACACTTTGTTGGACTCTACCAGGAAAAAATCCTGGAAGGTAAAACGAGTACGATGGCAACAACGGGGAAATAAGAATTAAGTTTGTTTCCTGTTGGAGATAAAATCTTAAAATGTAGAAGACAAAGCGATAAGAGATTCCTGTGTTGCCTTAAGTGAGTCATTTCCCAGGCTTGTCAGAAGTGAGGAGACGGTGAGTGATATGTGAAGACTGTGTGGCCTCAGGCGGGGAAGATGACACCCTGAGAGACATGCTTGGCTACACTCTCGTAGCAAACACAGATAAGGAGAGAAGAGAGAGACGACATGTGGAGGGAATTGTTATTTTGCATTTACATTCATTTCAAACAACTTTGAATCATTTTATTCAACGTCATTGTGATGATCATTTTTGTTTTCCATGTCTTCGATCCATCTCCAAGCTCAGACCTTTGTTGGAAATGTCTCCATGCAGCACGCCCTGATCTTCAATCCTCAACATGCTGGTCACTATGCTCTTTTTGTCTGAATTTAAACGCAGAGACTTTTCTCTCTGCTTTTCATCATTTGCAAATTGAAGCTCAGGCGCGTTACTGCGACAAGTTCAATCTTTGGGTCTGTACGTACACCTCCTGCATGCGTCATTTGTAACCTTAAGAGGACAGTTTTGTTTTGCATTTTTCCTCTTTATTTCCCTTTCCTTTGCTTTCCTTCTGAGCCTCTATCAGCTAAGAATTAGAAAGTTCAAGGCCAAATACCACAGTTTCACTTATGATAACATTCAACATCTGTTGGGAGCAGGCAGATAAATGATTTCACACAAGAAGCAGAAAATATAAAGAATTACTCTGTGTTCCTATAAGAGACAGAACAACAAAAGAGAGTGCAGTATAGTAAGAAAATGAGAGGGACATATTTTGATTACTCATCACCCTTTTATAAAGGCTGGAAACAGTGCTAACTGCTAGCTGGGCTCAGATTTTTTTGTGAAGATATTTTTGGGTCATTTTTGCTATTTTTGGATAGGACCGCTGAAGAGAGACAGGAAACGTTGGAGAAGAGAGGGAGGGATGACATGCAGCAAAGGCCAAGGTCGGGTTAGCAATGATGCAATGACGACTATGGCCTCTGTACATCGGGCGTGCAACATAACCACGAGTCTTGATACTAACAAGTTTACTTAAAGGCATTACTGGAGATCAATTGTTTCTTTCTTGTTTGTCCAATAAAAAAAAAAGTGACAAGTTGCTCTTTTGTGAATTCAAACTTTTATATTCTGAGGTGCAAATGGTCGTGGTTAGTGCGCTGGCCCCATGTACAGAGCCCAGGCTTATTGTCCAATCTGAAATCTATTTCACAGGATGATTGAAACCAGGAAAATGTTGTTCTGATATATACTGAAGCACTTTCCCCCTCAAAAAGAAGAGCTTGAAAAACACCCAGAAGATGAATAATGGATTAAAAGACCAATTTAAACACGATCTATCCTCCTCTGTCCTCCACTCCCCTTTTCCTTCCCTGCAGGCTTCTCCTCCCAACATTCGTCTTGTAAAAGTTGTGGAATCTCCCTAAATTCCTCTCTGAGCACCACAGCTGCTCATTGTGTCATTCTTAAAACAAAGACCAGTGTAGAAAAGTGCTACAGCAGCACAATGCATGCACACACTTGCGAATGACCGTGTGAGTGTGTGAGAGGAAGGGTGTGTGTCCTGATTTAAAAAAAAAAACTGCTTTATAGGTGCATAGAAACAGACTACACAAAGGTTAATATTCAACACACAATCCATGCTTTGCAGGTAGGACTCTCAGTGTGTTTAATTAAGTTTAGATATTTGCTTTTATAGTATATGGACTGCACTAACTAGCCCCTGTGTGTTTTTTGTGTTATTATTGGATAGTGTAATTGTACTGTCGTAGCAGGTTGAGTAATGGATTTGATCTCATCAGCATGTTGATGAATAGTTTAATCTTTAATGATAAATAATATTTTTTAAAGAACATCATATATTTTGTATGTTAAATATGAATCTGCAAAACAAATAATAATTCTATGTCAGATAAACAGAAGAGTGAAAAAAAGTAGAATATTTCCTCCATAAGTGAAGTGGAAAAAAAATCAAATACGCAAAAGTACAACAACCTCTAACTTGATTGAAGACATTTACTTATCTCATCTGAACTCATATCATTCCCTGAATATGACAGATGTCTGACAGATTAGAATCATATGAACTCATGTTGTGTTCAGACCCCTAGAGGGTGCTGTTGAGCCAGACATACACCTTCATTCTCCTGCAGCTGAATGTTAAAACACAGGCAGTAAATGTGACAAATTAACTCTACTGAAGTGTTGAACTTTTAAGTGCTGTGTCATTCATTTGTGATTTATTTGATTCTTACTTTTTTGAACACATTTCAACAGGAATTTTCTACTTCACTTGTTGCTGTGATGATATTATCAAAGTAGTGAATATGCAATGAGAGATTAAGTCTCAGTCACCTCGGTCACACACAACAGAGGCGCTGCTTATCAACAGGCGAGACAGGTAACTGCTTGGGGCCCCAGACCAGTAGGGGTCCCCTGGGGACTGACAAAATTCAAACTACAGCAGCGACCCATA